TGGGGCTGGAAAGATGGCTCAGCCAGGAAAGCTCTTGTCTTGCATCACCAGGGCCAGAGTTGGATCACCAGCATCGACAATAAAATAAGAAGTTGGGCATGGTGGCATGCTTTTAATCACAGTTCTGAGGAAGTTGGCATAGCTGGGGCTTTCTGGTCAGCAAACCCAGCCTACTTGGCAACTTTTGGCCATATCAGAGACCCTATCTCAAAACAAAAATCAAAACAAAACAAAATATACCCATGGTAACACCTGAGAATCAATACTCCAAGTTTTTCTCTGCTCTCTGTATGTACTCTTATGCATGTGCCTGTTACAGGGGATAAAAGATAAGACCTCCAAGGTAGGCAGGATCTAGATTGATGCTCAAGACTTTGGGTCATAACAATTGTCTTAGTTTGGGTTTTACTGTTATGAACAGACACCTAGGTAACTCTTATAAAAACATTTAATTGGGGGTGGCTTACGGGTTTGGAGGTTCAGTCCATGTAGGAGCATGGCAGCATCTAGGCAGACATGGTACAGCAGGAGGTAAGAGTTTTACATCTTCATCCAAAAGTAAACAGGAAAAGACTAGCTTTCAGGCAGCTAGGAAGAGGGTCTTAAAGCACACACCCACAGTGACACACCTATTCCAAGGCTACACCTCCAAATAGTGCTATTCCCTGGGCCAAGCATATTCAAACCACTATACCAATGTATCCATGTGCTCATTTCATGAGTGTGAAATAATACGTTAGTGAGCCTGACTAGTGGAGTATTACCTGGTGAATATTTCTTTATATATATTCACTGATGGGTTTGCTACAGGGACAGGAGTCAGGGTTAGCAGAGAAGGAAATATTGCTCAGGGATGGAGTACAGAGGGAGCATGTACCAGGCCCTGAGTTCAAAATGACATCAATAACAAAATCCAGCAGCTCAACCCCAAACTTGGGTAAAAATCTCAGCATCAAGTTAGAGTGTAAACAGTTGCATGAGTCTAGAGGCAAGTCCCTTATTTATAACCAGTAAACACCAGGCTTCACAGAGTGTGTCACACTCTCATACCACTGTACAAGTTAAGGAACTGTTCCGTTCCTGTGTGCTGTTCAGGAAGTGACAGGCACCTGTTAAACCCACAAAGTATGCTTTTGTAAGAAGTTGCTTAGTCTCCCAAGGAGAGAGCGCCTGATCTCTTGCCAGTCCTTGAAGTACCGATGTGAGAAATCACAAACACAAGGTCTAGCAAGCAAGGCTTTCTGTTTTGCTCCTGAAGATTACCGTTGCTTAAATTCCATTCTCAACATTTACACACTCCTCACCAGTGGTGTTCTGCAGTGAGACGAAGTTGGGTCTGGAGGTATTCGTAAGGCTTGGGAGATCATTAAAGCACACTTGATGTGAGAACAGAAGCATATCAGAGTGGAAAGTATAACATCCTGGGCACTTGGCTATCGGGATGATATATACGCACTGAAGAACAAATTTATCTTCACAAAAGAACTGTTTTCCTGGGATCCTGTGGGTCCCCATCCTCTTCTACTGCCTGGAGAAGAATCAGTGCATAGTAAGATAAAACCAAAACCAAACACCTTAGTGCTTTTCCTCAGGAAGATTCTTCTTCTTTTTTTTTTTTTTTTTTTTTAGTAACATCTTTGTTTCACTGGCTCTGTTTTGTGGATGGATTATTTGATTTTCAGTAAAAGCAGCTGGGAATATCGTCACTATTCACAATATTGACGGGCACCTGGGAACACACAGCAGTGTGTGCATCAGGTCAGAGAAGCTGGGGTTGTGGAGCCCACCTGTAATTCCAGCGCTTAGAGGGCTGAGGCAGGAGGCTTATAGTGAGTGTGAGGCCACTCTGTGTTGCACAGTGCGTTCTAAACCAGCCAGGGCTACCCTGCAAGATGACATCTCAAAAGCAAGCAAGCAAGCAAAAACAAAAGAGGGTCCTTAAATGTCCATATGAACAGTCCTTGTGGAGACTGTCCCTGGAGCAGCAGTCATCTTCTTGAAGAGCCTTAGAAAGAAGGTCCTTTTTAGCAGAAAATGTTACTTACTGTAACATTTTTCGGTTGCATGAACCGAAACAGTTGATTCATCTAGGGGATTCCCTACAGAAACACTGATTCCTTTTTCATGAGTACTCAAATGGACTGGCTGGCCTTTGCCATCTCAAAACTACCAACAAGGAAACAAATGAAACCAATCAGAAACTTTTCTAACTTGTCATATGCCTCCAAAATATGTTTTGGGAAGAAATTTTCTAAGGAAGGGATAGGTAATGCTAGTCTTCAGCTCAGTCCTAACTAACCAACTGCTTCTACGTTTTTGGATGGACTTTATTTTCTAGAGGATTGTATGGAGAATGAGATGAGACTGAGTCTTTCTTTGGAACTCACTATGTAGACCAGGTTGATCTTGGACTCACAGAATCCTGCCTGCTCCTGCTTCCCCAGCACTAAGATCAAAGGTATGCATCACAATACCCAGCCACAGACTGGATCTAAGAGCATAAAAAACTAGAGATCCTACTCCCTCAAAGTCTTACATCTTGAGTTTTGGGAGAACCCTGGGCTTTCTGCACATGCTGAGAACTTTCTCACCGAAAGTGACAAATGTGGAAGATGAATGACTCATGAAGAGATAAGGCTTACATTGCTTCACGGGTTTGGTGATTTCAGGCCATCAGCAATTGAAGCAAGGATGGTGGTGTACACTTATAATCCCAGCATTCACGAGTTAGACTCTGAAGAATCAATTCAAAGGTATCATTGACTACACAGTCTGGGTAACATGAGACCCTGTTTCAACACACACACACACACACACACACACACACACACACACACACACACACACAAAATATTCTAACCTGATTAGACCAGGTTCATCCAAGATAACCTCATTCTTATTTCCCTTACACTCATTTAACTAGAGACCTTATTTACATTGATAAAATCCTTTTATGAGGTACAATAGGATATGCTCATGAGATGTTGTCTGATCAAATTCACATGCTCAGCTCATACTCCAGGAGAGGTAGTACATGGGACACACATTGCAGAGGAGGAAAGCTGGGAGCCTGTTCAGAATGTGGCCTCCCACAGCAGGCTACTCAGAGGCAGAAGTGAATTGAAGTGGGGTAGTGCCTATACACAGGGAAACCACCTTTCAGCATGCACAGTGTCCCTGACTGGTACACATGGAGTTCCACTTCTCTCTCCTAGGCCTGTGGGAGCTAAGCTGTAAGCAGTAGAGTGGAGTGGAGGTTCTGTTTTGCAGAACAGCTCCTGAGCTGAGCCTTTCTCCCTGCTTTTCCTTGCTGAGTTCTTTGCTTTCCAAAAAGTAACAAGATAATAAATACCTTTCTGCTTAGTCTGGTGACATAAAGCCTTTATTGATGCTATGGGACCATCAGTGAAATCTTTTATCTCCATTAAACGTGTGAAACGCTGCATTACATTCTTTTTGAGACAGCATCTCAGTATATAGTCCAGGTGGCCTATAATTCATAGAGCTGGCTTTGAACTTGCAGTGATCCTTCTGCCTAAAGCTTCAAAGTACTTCAGGTAGAGGTGGTGTTACAGCTTTGCACCATTCACACTTGGCTCTGCACTACTTTTTAAATTTTATTTTAAAAATTTATTTTATTTATTATTATTATTATTATTATTTGTGTGTGTGTGTGTGTGTGTGTGTGTGTGTGTGTCTATGTCTGTGTCTCCAAGGGAGTACCATGGTGGATGTATATGGAGGTCAAAGAACAACTTTTGGGAGATGGTTCTTTCCTTCCATCATGAGTTTTGGGGACTGTGCTTAGGTCATAGTCTTGTGTGACAAGCTCTCATTGGTTCTGTGATGCTTTCTATAAAGTCATACAATTTTAAAGTAGAAGGGAAATTTGTTTCTAGAAGAATCTTTTCCAATTTTAATTCTGTAGAATGTCCTACTAAAGTGTTTTGGAAAGACTGCTCCATAAACATGCTGGTTTGGTATATATGGCACTCACTTAGTCTTTAGCATGTTAATGAATGAAAGAACCTGAAGCAAGGACACCCCCAACCACACTGTTATAATCTCCATAATTCAACCAAGGTTTGCCAAAGCAAGTCCTAGAGCATCGGGTTATTTCCCAAAACCAACTATAGGGCAGCTGACAGAGTAAAGACTTGAGAAAGCTTGGCTTTTAGCAGATTAAACTAGTTGACTCTATATATCAACTTACAAGAAAAATTTCAACAGATTCAGACACAGTTCTGAGAGGAAGCAGAGGACATTTGTATAAACTGGTATGTGTGTATCAATGTTATAGTTATGAAGTCTGCTGGGTCTTTTTAAGAAACTGAAATGACTAAGTATACAGATCTTCACATACCACTGAGCTGGACAGACTGCCCTGGGAGTAAACATCAAGGTGAGTATCTCTTTGCTTCACTGATATTCACAAATAATACTTCCTGGAAATGAAGATCACGAGCTTCTAGACCACAGAGCAAAAGAGCTCTTGAAAATAGGACCATGTGGGCCACTGTAGCATGGTAAGTTTTCATGCAGATATTCTCAGCTTAGGGCAGATAGAAAATGAATTGCTATAAAATCAGCCCAAAATTAAATAAAAAAAAAATTATTAAGGTCACCACAAAGTTAGGATGGATCTTGTGCAACAGCAGCTTGGTTCCTGGGCCAGACCACTGTGCTCACCCACGTCCAAGTGCGTTCTGTAATCCAGATTCTGTAATGTCGATCACACACACACACACACACACACACACACACACACACACACCCCTGACTCAGGGAATGCAGGTCCAGGAGGTGCATTTTTTTTTAGCATGGAAACAAAGAGTCACTAGTGTTACTAAGTCAGCTGGCCGACCGGACATGCCTTGTTGTTCCCCAAGGCCACAAGGTTGTCACAGGCCTGTGGATATGCAAAACAGTTTTGGACTTCCGGCTCCCCTTCTCTGCTAGGGGGAAGAAGTCCACGTAGATAAAGAACCTAAGCACCACTGACCTTTTATCGTAGAGAAATCATCTCTCCTCAAGGAAGAGGTGGATGAACAAGTTAGACTTCCTGCCTTCTTTTTCCAGGTTGCCTGTCTGCCTCCAGTTTCCTCCTTCTTTTCCTTATCTGCCTTTGTCTTTCCCTTTACCCTGCTTTCTATCTTCTCCTCTCAGCTTTCTTCCCAGTCTCTGGACCAGACAGGTGAGGTAATTCCTCTGCCATGGCTTTAACCTTTGGCCTTCAATGTCCTGGGACTGCAGTGTGAGTCCACACATCCAGATCCTGGCCTCTGTCTCTCTATCCTGGCCTACGACCAGGGCACTGGTTAAAACCAAAACCCAAACAAGGAAATTTTACAACAATGTCTTATAAGCCACTTGGGCCTTAAAAAGCAGTGAAATAGTAAATGGAGCAGCCCTTACCTGTAGTCATAGAGGAGCTAAACCTACAACCATTCACTGCAATTCTGTGAGAGAAGTTTCCATGTAAGGTGTAAACTCTATGCTTGTATTCCTCTGAGCTCACTCCCATGAACAGAACTACAGCAACAACTTCCCATGAACAGCTGCAGAGGAGTTTGCATTTCTTCTGCTGGAGAACTGGGAGCAGGAAACACCCAGGTTTGGTAAGCAGTTTTTTTCCTTTTCTCTCTTCTCTCTCCCCTCTCCCCTTTGTCCTCTTTCCCCTTCTCTTCTCTCCTCTCCTCTCCTCTCCTCTCCTCTCCTCT